CACACCCTTCAAGAGCTCAAACCAAGCTCAAAAGTGCCACAGCTCAAAGATGAGAAGATTTGGTTAAGGGTGTATAGGAAACGATTAAGGATTTGTAGGCAAAAGTGTAGGAATTTGCTAAAGAGAGAGAGAATTGTAGAAAGAGAGAAAAAATTTTGATCTCAAAATTTTCTAACCATCAAACATGAGAGAGGGGACTCCTATATATAGAAAGCATGAATTCCCTACCTGGATATCCAGCCCTACACGTGGGTACAGATGCATGCATCTATGCAAACAACTAGCACAACTGTCACAAAATATCTGCAAAAGAAATTGGTAGCCGGCCGGCCATCACTGGAGGCCGGAAGGCCACACCAGTGGCCGGCAACCCAAAAGTGATGGCTGGCAGCCCAAAAGGGGTGGCCTGTGGGCTTGAAGGACCAAGGCTTGGTCAAAATGAGGCAACAAGGGGTGCAGGGTTTGAAGGGCTCAAAGCTATGGCATTCCTCTGAGGACTTCGAGCACTTGACGAGCAAATAAACTCATCATCGGGTGTACATGAGATGGTGTCCAACTCGTAAGGGCCGTCAAAAATGGGGTGTCTATACCTGGCCATGCCCGTAAATCAATAACACCGAGATGCACCCAAAAAATAACTAAGTATAGTAAATACTTAATACTTAGTTAGATTCCCACTTTTCATTACTTAGAGTAATTTCCAATACTTAGACGTTTTTTTTGTCAACAATGCTCTTTCTAGCCAACTTTACCATTTTTCCCCTAGGGCTATAATAATAATAACTAGCGGGTGACACGCATGATGTGTATGTAATTCAAAATAAGTAAGCATAAAACAAAATAATAATATAATGTGTATTTAGCTTAAGTGGTATGAGTCTTTCTACTTTAAACCCATGATCATGGGCTCAAGTCTTGCCCACCTTTTCGAGTAAATTTTTTATTAAAAAATAAAAAATACTATCACGTGGCATGAGAAGAGCAAAGCTTCACTATACCAATTTAGGCCTTCACTTAATAATAGTATAGAAGAAGATAGGTAGATAGATAGATACTCTTATGTTGTGTTTGGTTGGGGGATTTGAGGAGAGATTTGGAAAGTGGAATGGAAAAGGTAGGTGAAATGTGAATAATGTATACCTACATTACACCTAGTTTCACACACTTGTTCCCTTTCCCTTTCCAAAATCCCTCCCCAAACTCCCCAACCAAACATAGCGTTACTGTGAAATGATCAATATGCCCCTAAGGCACAATTTAGCAAATTATCCCTAGGGTTTGAATTTACAGAATGCCCTTAAAGCAAGATATTATCGATTTACCCTTCATTAACCCCAAGTTAATTCGTTACATGGCAATTTCAATCAAATAATTCAAAATATTCTCAAATGACTATTTTACCCCTAAAGTGTCAAAATTACATTTTTTTCTCTCATAAGTCCCAAATTCATCAAATAATCCAAATAACTCATAAACACAATTGAAATAATAAAATAGTCATGGAAACATATATTTTTAAGAAATTAGTAAGAAAAATAGGGTAAAAATCATGGAATATAGTAAATCAACTCTAAATCACACCATCTTTTCTACTACCTCATTTTAACCCATGATTAATCTAACTACATCATTTTTCCCAATTTCTTAACACTTTAAATATTTCTCAAATATTCAGAGTTACCCAAATCACATGTTACCATTAGTCATCAAACATGTCATAGATTACACTTTTTGAGGTTTGAAGAAAAGAATCTAAATTAATTAATTAATTACTTTTCATGATTTCAAGATAAATATGAAAACATTATGTTCAAAATTCAAGAACTCACAATATTTAGGGATTTCAAGATAAGAATCTAACTTTTACTCAGAAAAGTGATTCAAGAAATTATGTATCAAACATATAGCTCATGGATTTGAATATATACAAACAAACAAAAAATGCATTTGATACAATAATCATGCCATTAACCTATGAAATCATGTAATAATTAACTTGAAATAAACCCTAGCAGGTTTTTCTAAGTAGAAATTGAGAGAACCCCTACCTTTACTTGAAGCTTTAAACAAATAAGGAAAAAAAGAGAGAAGTGGGATGATCTAACTTAATTCTTCCAAGGCCTCAATTTCTCCTCCAAGTTTCAAATGTTTCTCACAAACCTTTTTATAAATGCATACTAATCTTACAAGGGATTGAGCTTTCTAACTCCTCAAGTACAAGAGAATGATCACCAAACTAAAGGAGGAGGTGGAACCAAAACCTTAGCACTAACAATGGTGGAAATGAAAGACAAAAATGAGGGAGAATGTTGTTTTGGTTTGGGAGAGAACTGTAGAGGAAAATTGATTCTATTGCACTACAAGAAAAAAGACTTTTCCTAACTTTTTTTACAAATTTCGGCATTGTTAATTTATTTCCAGTGTTCTTGACTAAACTTCGCAATTGTTAATTTATTTCTGGCATTTTTTGGTTTTTTCTAGACTTATTCTGTGACAACTCATTTCAGGTGATTGCTCTAATGGTGGAAAGACTGCTTGAGTGGAGATAAGGTGCTCCCAGTAGTTTGTTTTGCAGGTTGAGGGACTACTCGAAGAAACAAATGGTCGCTCGAGCAAAGATAAGGGGTTCCTAGTATCTCGTTTTCCAGGCAGAGATACTGAGAGGCCTCATTCATAGCTCGAGCAGTGAAAAGACCGCTCGAGCAGTCTGCACGAATTCGGCAACTTAAAACTCACTTTTAGATGATTTCTTTCGCTTTTCCTTTTCTCTCTTCTTTCCTCTATCTCTAATTCTGAAAACCCTAGATTTCTCTCTTTATATATCTCTCATTTCACTAAGATTCAAGCCTAAATCCCTCGCAAGAAGTGAAGTCTACGTAAATATCTTACTTTCTACCAATTCTATGAAGGATTGTTGCAACTTAAAACTCACTTTTAGATGATTTCTTTCGCTTTTCCTTTTCTCTCTTCTTTCCTCTATCTCTAATTCTGAAAACCCTAGATTTCTCTCTTTATATATCTCTCATTTCACTAAGATTCAAGCCTAAATCCCTTGCAAGAAGTGAAGTGTACGTAAATATCTTACTTTCTACCAATTCTATGAAGGATTGTTCCTAAAGTCTAGCTTTCTTGCTCTTTTCTTGAGGTCGGGTTACTTTTAACCTAGTATCTCTTTATATTGAGGATGATTATGTGGTTTTATTGTGACCATGATACTTTATTTTGATGATTGAGTATAAATTGAGTTTTATGTTTAACAAAAAGGGATTTTACCCAATTTTTTATCAAAATTTCAAATAAACTCTAATGGATTATGAGTATTGATGTTGAGAACTATCACATATATAAAGAGGGCATAAAAGCCTCAAATTTAATATAAAAAAAAACCCTTGTTTTGATTTTGATGAAAAATGATGTTTGGATGGAATGGACTTTCAACTCTTAAAATTTAGATGGTAGACATAATAAGTGGATAACTAAAATTTGGGGTACATTATTAATGTATGTTGAATTGTAATTTGTGGATTTAGAAATTTTTAATCCATGTATTGTATATTTCACTATTCATTTCATGTATTTATGAATGCCTGGTTACTTGAAAGGTGGTAAAAAGGAGTCCGGGTATAGAGTCAGTTTTTGAGAATGATGTGTTGTATTGGTACCCCCACGAGGAGTTTAGGTGCCCAAATGGCCTATCTTAAGTCTATCATCAGATGAATGTGGGAAAGTGTTTTTGGGTGTCCACTATTCCTGTCGTATAATAGTCAGTAAAAGTGAAGAAAACGGATGATTTTGGGTGTCCACCACCCACCGTATTAATAGCTGTTAAATGTGGAGATAGTTTTGGTTATAAATATAAGTGTATGTAGTATGGGGCTTCTACGAGGGATTCATGGCATATTTACCACCCTAGTGTTGAGAAAGGTTTTCAAGTGAAACAAAGATGTAACTATTTTCTTATCCTTTTTATTTGTGAACATAAATTTTAAATTGTGTTTTAGGTTATGATATTTCCATGTGGATATTGAAGTAATTAGATACTCTGTTAAATATATTCTACTGTACATATAGCTTATTTCTATCTAAACATTTTCAATAATTGGTCATGTTCCACCACCTTAGTAAGGAGTAGACTCTTTTGTTTTGATTGGAGCACCGAGGCTCATGGATGTTTAATGTGAAAGCTTTGAGCTTCGTTGTTTAGGACCGTGTGTCCATTTTTGTTGTAACAAGGCCATGCCTTGAGTTTTTTAAGCCATTAAGTCATCTTATTTGTATCCTCTAACTTGCTGAACTATGTCATATGAAAGTGTATTGAATTTGTTAAACATGGAACTGTAAATAGAAACCTTAGTTAAATGAGAAAGAGGACCTCTTGGGTCAATGTTATTATGGTGATGATAAGATTTTGGTTCAACCATGTTTTACATTAAATTGTTTGGGAGCGTTACAAATTGTTATCAGAACTAACCAGGTTTGACTACCTTGAGCTCGTGGAAAATGGCTAATGCTATAGTGAGTTTGCCATGCTAGGAAGGATGTTAATTGATTAAGATGATTATGTGTATATGTGACTATGTGGGTGTGGAATGAAACTTCTAAGATACGACTTGGATCCACTACCCTCATTGAAGTCCTTTTGGAAAGGCACTTGATCAATGCCCTTTCTGCTTGGAAGTCTTTGAGCACTGTGGGACGTATTGATATCTTAGAGGGGTGATTCGTATGTGTTATATATGACAAGGTGCTTGTGTGGTTTGCCTAATGTCATCTAAATGTATGTGTGGTCTAATGCTAGTGCATGTGGGACGGGCTAGACTAAGCGTGGAAAGTGAGTCACGAATTTAATTTTATCTCTATTTCTTATAGGACGTCTGGACATGTTAGAGGTCATGGTAGACATCGCTGGGATGGTTGGAATATTTCTGCCCAACCGGAGATCCCTCCACAAGTAAGAATTGGGTCATAATAATGTGGCCGCTTCACCGACCCAAGATGTAATGGCGAATTTGGTCCAGGAGATGGCAGGGGCTCTTAGAGAGTCCATGGACATACTGAAAGCTGAACAAGTAGCTAGGACCATCAAAGGAGAGACTAGAACTACTTTCCTAACAAATGAATTCTTTCTTTCAAACCTCATCGAGTTCAATGGCTGGCCCAACCCTATGAAAGTAGATGAGTAGTTAGAGCAAATCATCAAATCCGTGAGGGTGAGTTACAAGTGACATTAGCAGCCTACCAACTAAAAGGAGAGGCCAGGCAATGGTGGAAGTATGCCAAAAATCACGTTGAGCACACTTGAGAGGCATTCGTGCACACCTTCCAAGAGAAGTTCCTCCCTCCTACTACTACAGAATGGTTGAGGAGATAGTTTGAAAAGCTATTACAGCTCGACACATCTATGGCCGAGTTTGAAGCCACATTTATTAGTTTATCCCATTTTGACTCGAGTTGATGGCAACTGAAAAGCGCCAACGCTTAGAATTTGAGAAAATGTTGAGACTGAAAATTTTAATAAAGGTAGTGGGTAACATGATCAGAGATTATAACCGGCCTGTGGAAATCAAAACTCATGTAGAGATTATGGTGAAGGCTGAGGAAGCTAGGCAAAAGTCAAAGAGGTCAGGGTACTAAGAGTCTAGGGGTGATTCGAGGTCTTGGAAAAAGTCTAAGAGCTTATCGTTCTATCAATCATCACCACAACAAGTTAAGTTTTCTAGTTCAATGACGATTGGTGGTTCGGGGAACACGGGTCAAACCCGTGGTGCTTGTTATAGATGTGGCCAGTTGGGTCACAAGTTTTTAGAGTGTGGTTAGAGAGTTAGGGCTTAGACACAGTTGGCTCGCTCATAAAGCGTATCCCAAATTAGAGGCCAAGCACCATCGTGGTACCAGTGCGACCAACTGGGGCACTTGAAAATTTTTTGCCCACAGAAAGCAAGGACTAGTAATGCATCGGGATCTTGCCAGTCAAGGGGCTTCCAAACAGGCCAGGGGCAGAGACATTCTCATCAGCTAGCCCAATAGGGTCAAGCATCTAGAGTAGTACACGAGGCTATATTTACATAATCTATACAGCAAGCCTATGTTCCGAGAGGTGACCTAGGAGAGCAAAGGCCACAGGGAAGTATGTATGCCATCACCGCATCAAAGCAGTCTTCAAGACCATACGTTGTGAGAGCTACATATCTTATTTTCAATACTTGGGCCAGTGTGTTGATAGATACCGGGGCATCTCATTTATTCATAGCATCTGCATTTGCATCCATGTTGGGGTTAAAAAGTGAGCAACTAGAGTCTCCGCTTGTGGTAGAGACACTCGTTGGGGGTAAGACTATCTTGAATCGGGGATATCGCAGGTGTGTAATTCAGGTCATTGACTGTCGACTTCCATTCAACTTTATGTCGTTAAATATGTTCGGATTTGATGTCATCCTCGGCATGGATTGGTTGTCCTTCTATTGTGCCATCATAGATTGCTACTGTATGAGCGTTACATTGAGTGGTGATTGTTTTTCTTTCTTGGGGAATAGAATCGATAGGTTGTTGCCGCCATTGTATGACCCACGTAGCCGAGGTGAACTAAGCTCTCTCCTGGTAACCTTCTTAGATGATGGTAGTGGTAAGGTTCAAGATGAGTTTCCTAGAGTGGTTTGCGAGTACTCAGATGCCTTCCCAGAGGATTTTACTAAATTACTGCCTCACCAGGTGGTTGAGTTTTCCATAGACTTAGTGTCAGGCATGACATCTATCTCTATGTCACCGTATAGATTTGCACTAGTTGAGTTGGTTGTCTTGAAGGAACAATTATAAGAGCTTCTATATAAGAGCTTCATACACCATAGCACCTCACCATGGAGAGCTTTGGCCCTGTTTGTCAAAAAGAACGATGGTTCATTGAGATTGTGTATAGATTATCCCAAACTGAATCGAGTTATGGTTAAGAATAAGTATCACTTACCTAGAATATATGATCTTTTTGACCAACTCAAAGGTTCACATTGCTTCTCGAAGATAGATTTGAGATCGGGTTACCATCAGCTACGAGTCAAGGATGAGGATATGCCTAAGACGACCTTTCGTACTAGATATAGCCATTATGAGTTTCTAGTCATGCCTTTTGGGTTGACCAATGTGCCTGCTACATTCATGGACTTGATGAACCGAATCTTCTGAGAGTTTTTCGACAAATTTGTAGTTGTCATTGTAGACGATATTCTCATCTACTCACCTTTCAAGAAGAAGCACGAGGGGCAACTCCACATTGTCCTACAACTCCTTAGAGAACATTGTTTGTATGCGAAGTATGAAAAGTGTGATTTTTGGCTATCAGAAATGAAGTTTGTGGGCCATGTAGTTTCTGCGGATGGGGTTACCGTGGATTATTCAAAAATTGAAGCTATACAGAATTGTGATCAACCTAAAAATGCCTTTGAAATTCGTAGTTTCCTGGGTCTAACTAGTTACTACTGCCGCTTTGTAAGGAATTTCTCTTCTATAGCATTACCTTGGATTGGATTGACTCGTAAGGGAGTGAAATTCATTAAGAGTGAAGCTTGTGAGAAATCCTTCCAAGAACTAAAGCTTAGGTTGACTACTGCTCCTATTCTCATTATATCAAAACGTGGCTTGGGGTTTACGGTGTATTGCGATGCTTTAAAGAAGGGTTTGGGTGTATTTTGATGCAAGAGGGTAGGGTAGTTGCATACTATTCTCGACAACTAAAAACTCATAAGAGAAATTACCCGACCCATGACCTAGAGCTTACCGCTGCCATTTTTTCCTTGAAACTTCAGAGATATTATTTATATGGCGAAAAAATTGAAGTATTCTCTGATCATAAAAGTCTTAACTAACTATTTTCTTATAAAGATTTGAATTTACATCAATGAATATAGAAGGAATTTATGGAGGATTACGATTTTAAATTACATTATCATCTTCGAAAGGCCGATGTAGTGGCTAATGCCTTGAGTAGAAAATTTGTAAGTGCCATAGCTAGTCTCGAGATGAGGGAATGGAAGATGATGGGGGATATTAGTGAGTTTGACTTGCAACTTCGGTAGTCCACTAAGTAGGCTACCCTGTTCACCGCTATCACAGAACCTACACTTGTCACACGAGTAGTGGAAGCACAACAAGATGACCCATAAGTGGAGACTATTTGGGAGAGAATCTCCAAGGGAAAGGAAAAGAAGGGTTTGAATGTTTATGCTGGTGCAAGTGTCCATTATTTTGATTGGTTATTTGTACCTGAGCCTATTAAAGATGAAGTTCTTCAGGAATTTCACAAATCTCACCTTACGGTGCATCTGGGAGGAATAAAAATGTACAATGACCATGTCGTCAATTTTGGTAGAGAGATGTGAAGAAGGATGTAGCCTTGTTTGTGTCTAAGTGCCTAGCTTGTCAGCAAGTCAAGGTCGAACATCAAAAACCCACGGGTTTATTACAACCTCTACCAATTGCCAAGTGGAAGTGGGAACATTTCAACATGGACTTCGTTATGGGTCTTCCAAGAACGAAAATGAGTAATGATGCAATATGGGTGATTGTAGATCGACTCATCGAGTCATCCCATTTTCTTACCATGAGTATGGGTGATTCTGTTGAATATTTCACTGAACTTTACATCTGTGAAATTATTCGACTCTATGGAGTTCTGATGAGCATAGTGTCTGATAGAGATCCTTGTTTCACAGCTAGGTTGAAACAGAGTTTTTAGAGTGCCATGGGTATTCAACTGAATTTTAGTACTACCTACTATCCTCAGACTGATGGACACTCTAAGTGTACCATACAAACCTTAGAAAACATGTTAAGAGCGTATGTGTTAGACTTCAAAGAGTCTTGGGAGAAACACTTACCTTTAGTTGAGTTTGCTTACAATAGTTACTAGGTTGGCATTGAGATGGCACCTTTAAAAGCTCTATACAGATGTCCTTGTAAATCACCAGTTTGTTGGGCTGAAGTTAGGGGATTCACCTATGCTTGGGCCCGAGTTGGTTTGCGAGGCCACCGAGAAGGTAGCTCTCATTCGAAAGAGATTAGTCATGGCTCAAAGCCGTCAAAAATATTATGCTGATTGGAGGCGGAGACCGTTGTCCTTTGAAGTAAAAGACTATGGGTGTGTTTGGTTTGATTTTGAGAGAGTGATTTTCAAAAAAACGTTTTGGGGAGAGAGTTTAGAATTTTTTTTTGGTTTGTTTGGTTGTATATTTTGAAAGTAATTTTATAGTTTGGGAGTTTGAGATGATTTGATATTTTGTTGTAATTGAGTACATGTGTGTGAGAGAAAAAGAGATTGAGAACGAGAGAGGAGAGAGAAAAAGTGATTGATTGATGTGTAAGAGAGAGAAAGTGATTTTGAAATTTTTTTGAGAAAAATCTCAAACCAAACAATTTTTTTGGAAATTTTTTTCCAAAACTCATCTCTCAAAGCTAAACCAAACACACCTTATGTATTCTTAAAGATCTCACCGAGGAGGGGATCAATGAGGTTTGGTGGAAGCAAAGAATTATCTCCCTGATTTATTGGCCCTTTTGACGTCATAGAGCGGATAGGAGAAGTCGTGTATCGTCTTGTCTCACCACCACAACTCTCTAGAGTGCACAATGTGTTCCATGTGTCAATGCTTCGCAAGTATGAGCCTGATCTTTCTTACGTATTAGATTGGACAAATATTGAGATTGATGAGGATGCGTCTTCTGAGGAAAGATTGATTTAAGTTCTAGATACCCTGAAGTAAGTATTGAGAGGTAAGACCATTCCATTAGTCACAGTGTTGTGGCATCATCACAGTGTTAAGGAAGCAACTTGGGAGCATGAAGCTGAGGTCTGCGAGAAATACCTAGATTTATTTCAAAATATGTGATGTATCCACTTGCATTATTTTTCCTTTAATATGTGGTAAACTAAGTGTAACCCATACTTTCTCCTTTATTTTCCTTCTTTTGCTACTAGAAATAGTTCGTTCATAATTTGGGGATTGTAAGAATTGATTATTATTATGTTATTAGCATATCGTTGATGTTGTGTTGAGGATTGATGTGAATTTCGAGGGAGAAATCCCCTAAGGGGGAGAGATTGTGACAACTTGTTTTAGGTGACCGCTCGAGCGATGGAAAGGCTGCTCGAGCGAGGATGAGGTGCTCCTAATAGTTTGTTTTGTAGGTCGAGGGACTACTCAAGCTTGAGTGAAGATGAGGGGTTCCCAGTATCTCATTTTGCAGGAAAAGATACTAAGAGGCCCCATTCACCACTCGAGTGATGAAATGACCGTTTTAGTGGTCTGTGTGAATTCAGCAACTTAAAAGTCACTTTTAGATCATTTCTTTCACTTTTCCTTTTCTTTCTAATTCCAAAAACCCTAAATTTCTCTCTCTATATATCTCTCATTTCACTAGGATTCAAGTCAAAATCCCTTGCAAGAAGTGGAGTTTGCTTAAAGATCTTAGTTTCTACCGATTGGATTTCAATTCTATGAAGGATTCTTCCTAAAGTCTAGCTTTCTTGCTCTTTTCTCAAGGTAGGGTTACTTTTAACCTAGTATCTCTTTATTTTGAGGATGATTATGTGGTTTTGTTGTGACCATGATACTTTATTTTAATGATTGAGTATAAATTGAGTTTTATGTTTAACAGAAAGGGATTTTACCCAAATTTTTATCAAAATTTCAAATAAACTCTTATGGATTATAAGTATTAATGTTGAGAACTATCACATATATAAAGAGGGCATAAAAGCCCCAAATTTAATATATATATATATATATATATATAAACCCTAGTTTTGATTTTGATAAAAATGATGTTTGGATGGAATTGACTTTCAACTCTTAAAATTTAGATGGTAGACATAATAAGTGGATAACTAAAATTTGGAGTACATTATTAATGTATGTTGAATTGCAATTTGTCGATTTGGAAATTGTTAATCCATGTATTGTGTATTTTACCATTCATCTCATGTATTTATAAAGGCTTGGTTACTTAGAAGGTGGTAAAAAGGAGTCCGGGTAGAAAGTCAGTTTTTGAAAATGATGTGTTGTGTTGGTACATGCACGGGGAGGTTAGGTGCCCAAATGCCCTGTCTTGAACTTATCACTGGACGAATGTGGGAGAATGTTTTTGGATGTCCACTAGTCTTGCCGTATAATAGTCGACAAAAGTGAAAAAATGAATAATTTTGGGTGCCTACCACCCGTTGTATTAATAGCCAGCAAATGTGGGGATGGTTTTGGTTACAAATATATGTTTATGTAGTATAGGGCTCCTATGAGGGATTCATAGCATATTTATCACCCTAGTATTGAGAAAGGTTTTCAAGTGGAACAAAGATGTATTTGTTTTCTTATTTTTTTTATTTGTGAACATAAATTTTAAATTGTGTTTGGGTTATGATAATGCCATGTGGATGTTCAAGTAATTAGATACTCTATTAAATTTATCTCTACTGGGCATATAGCTCATCCCTATCTAACATTTTCAGGAATTAGTGATGTGCCACCACCTTAGTGAGAAGGACTAGACTCTTTTGTTTTGATTGGAGCATTGAGCTGCATGGATGTTTAATGTGAAATCTCCGAGCTTCTTTTTTTAGGACCATGAGTCCATTTTTGTTGTAACAAGGTCATGCCTTGAAGTTTTGTAAGCCATTAAAGCATCTTATTTGTATCCTCTAACTTGTTGAACTATGTCATATGAAAGTGTATTTAATTTTTTGAATAGAGAATTGTAAATTGAAACCTTAGTACAATGAGAAAGAGGACCTCTTGGGTTAATGTTATTAAGATAATGATAACATTTTGATT